TCGTAGATTATATAAGAATTAGTGTTACAAACATATAATATATATCTATGTAATTGAAAAATATAGAATTTGTAATATAAAAGCGATTGAAGTTGATGTAAGTACTAATATGAGTGCGCGAAATTTACGCACTCTCTTGGTTAAATTTAATTGAATCTAACTTTGAAACACCGAATTTAAATAATCAGAATTTGACACAAATTAGATTTATTTGTTTATTTACCTTAAATAATTGTAATATTATTATTAAATACAATAGTCAACAAAATTATCGCAACATTCAATTCATATCAAAATGTCGCTCAACTGCGCGATTATATATTTCCGGGAAAATTGTCGTATTTGAAAAAAAATTGTATTTTATTTTAAAAGGTAAGTCTGTATTTTAAATAGCATTTGTTAGATTTTGAATTTATTTTTTCCTTCTTTTTTAAAGTACTTTGGTAGTGGACGTACTTTGTTTCTGAAAAAAATTACATAATTTGACGCATTCAACATAGTGGAATAATTTTTTTTTGCAAATGTCATGCTAACGTCATCATAAAATACGGACTAGCAAATAAAGGAAAATGAGGTCCGTACTATTCATCTTAACAGAGTTACGTCGTATCAAAATTACCTATATGCATTCTAGTTCAGTTACCGCCTGAATTAGCTTTACTCGACGAACACCACGGGCAGATTACTGATCGGATTTTGCTTATCGTGTGTGTATGTGTGTATGTAAGTAGAGATATGACCGTGTGGGCGACTATTTCAGCCATATTTTACACAAAGGAGAAGAAGCAAAAAAATACTGCAGAAGTGACAAACCGTGCGGGGTCCTTATATCTCTGCTGGCACACGCATAGTATCAGAGTTAAACATTGACATTGAATAAGCTTCACGCGCTAAGGCATACATATGCAGATACTAATAATGTTAACCGCTTATGTGTTATCAAATCAATATTTCCAACACAAATTAAAAAGCATCAATATTTATTATAATAATTGTTATTATGATTAATGTAATAAGATTGAACTGTGTGTGTGTGTGTCTGGTTTACTTAAAATTTTTCTCAAATAGTTCTGAGCATAATGAAACTGATCTGCTAGTTTTCCGTAGCAAACATTTATTACCGATACGATGTGATATGCTGGTGCGTCGCGCGAGTTCTTTTATTTTAGATAAACCGGAACGGCGACGTTTCGTACAGCATATCACTTTATTCTCTCTAAGTACGCGACGTTCGTGCGACATAAATTTATTAAAAAATTATACAACATTATTGCTAGTGTCGAGAACTCTCTAGGAAATGCTTCAGTATGTTCAGAACTATTCGAAAAATGTTTTATATAAACCAAAACTCCGAGATTTCGTCAGCATCTCACTCTATGCTATACGGAAAACTATAGCAGAACATTTTTTCAATAAATTTTTTTGGCAAAATCATCAGAACTATCGTTAAATAGTATCAGGAACTATAGAACTTGACTGCGAGAAGAACTCTCTTTTATTTTTGATCTGCTAGAAAATGATCTGCTACAGGAAGTTAGCAGATCATTTTTTCGATCGACTGTTTTTTGGGTAAAATTACCAGAACTATTATGCCCGTTCTAGACTGGAGGATGAGCCGAGAGTCGGCTCATCCTCCAGTCTAGAACAGGCATTACTAAAAAGCATCAGAAACTATAGAACTTGACTGCATGCGACAAGAACTTTCTTTTATTTTTAATCTGCTGAAAAATGATATGCCAATTTCTCAGACATTATAATAAGACGAAAATTATATGACACGTGTTTAGTGAATTTTTTAAAACTTTGCTTAAAAACTTTAGAAGTTAGACCTGTTTCGAGAGGTTGTTAGTTAAAACCTAAGATAAGAACTAATATTTAATTTATAATTAAGAAAATGCAAAGTTCAAAATGCATTTAATCGCAATGACATTCGATACAAACAGGTTTGCCTTTAAAAATATTGCTTATACCTTTTCCTCGATACTAGTACCAGATTGAATAAAATTAAATTGTTATACATATAACACTACTACATTTGCAGATGTAGCACGGGCGCGCACTAAAATAATGTTTTATCGCAAAATAAACGTGGCTATATAGTACCAATTTCGAAAATAGATGTACTGGCGATAGTGTACAAGAGCTTTCGACGGTCCTACGAAAAAGGCCGGGATGACTTCTCTCAGACTTTTTTCTGATATTACTCATTTTTCATTTATTCCATTTTCTTATTACTAAATATTGCTTATATTAAGTAATAATATGAAATATTGATGAGGTATGATTTAGGAAACTGGTATGCATTCGGCAACTCTCCCCTATTTTTATCAGTGTAGGGGCCCTCCTTTGGCAGCCAATCAGAACGCGCCATTTTAGGGGTAGCTTGTTGGTAGAGAGAAGCCGGCAAAATCGGCAAGAGGCGACCAATCAAATGACGTCACGTGGTCACCCCAAGGTGGCTTACAATTAGCCAATGACTATATTTGGATGATCATTCGTATCAAAAAAATGTCATTTAATAATTTGGTGATAAGAATATAGATAAACTTATTAACAAATCAAGCATCTCTTGAAACAATAAAGTATGATTGGTACATATAAGTGTATAAAAGTAATTACAGTTGCATCCTTGAATTTAACAAATTTCTGCGTAATAAAATTAAATCTTATAGTTATTAAAGATAAAAACAACTGATAAAAATATTATCTTTTAATGTATTTTAACCGAAAAGGAGACGTAAAGGCCATTGCACGTAACAAAGTTTTAGTTTTAATCGTAAGGCCGTAAGAAAATAGACCAATTACACTCGATTATTCTTAATTAATTAAAATTATTCATCGCTACCTCTCCGATATTTTATTATTTCTATATGTACATTTGTTTAAAAAAAAACATTATTGTTTTAAGTGTTAAAATAATCTTAATTATTTTTTCTCTTTTAATGATTGATATCAAGTAAAAATATAAGAATAATACTGTAAAATTGTGTCTTTTCCATTTACATTTTAAGTAAAGTCATAAAAACTTTAAAGCAACAGTTTCAAAGGTTAAAGTCAGTAGGAAGGTAAATTAATATTATGGCTGCGTTCGGGGAGAGCGCTATTAGCGCTATTTGCTTGTTCTATCCTTGTTCTACACTTGATGAGCGATAAAGATAGATAATGCAATAGCGCTAATAGCGCGCTCCTCGAACGCAGCCTATATAGCTAAGTTCCACAATTATAAACTCTCTTATTTATATGATTTATCACATTTACTTTAAAAATACAAATAATTTTCGACACAAATCAGCTCACGTCTTAAGGCAACAATCATAAACATAAATACATTTGATGATTTAGGGATTATTTATGTTTTGTTACGATACAGTACCTACTTAATACTAAAATGCAATTGATACAGTTTGCCACGATTTAGTATATTAGCATTCAAGCTAAATCTGGAATGTGAATATATCATTGCTTATATATAAGTCTGTTATACCGACGCAAACAATACATACTTTCAAAGATCAATTTCATCTCATTAATCATTAAACTTTTTTTAATACATTGAATTGTGCTAATGAAATATTTACGTATATGCAAAACGCAATTTTTAGAGTCGATTGGATTAATGGAAAGAACTCTTAGGTTCTCAGAGAATTTGTATAAACTTTAAAGCTTTTAATCCTTGTGTCCACGATGCTAGAAATTGCTCCAAAAATTAACCAATCGCATTGGCCAACTGTCGAATTGCTTAAATATGATTGGTCAATTCTTTTTCTCCATCCGAGATCTCGAAGCAATTTCTAATATCGTTCGAACACAAAGCTTTGAGACGCTTCGCTTGTTTTCTGCCCTCCTGCTCACCTTCTTATAACCACAGGAACATGTATACGCACATTTGTATATAAGGGAACGATTAGCAATTTGACTGTCTGTTCTTTGTCTGTACGTACCAGTTGTGGATTGACTCGCAGTTATATTTGTAATTTCAGTCGCCGAGAAATTCAGGAAACATGTATCGGCTCTTTGTGACGATGACGGTAATCACGGTAATCAACTTCGCGTCAATCAACGCGAAGTTGCATAGGTGAGTACATGTTATATACGAACGATCCACATTTATATCGACATGATGAATTATATAATACCGTACAGGGATCGCGCTTTCAACTACTTGGAATCGCCGCAGAATTCGCGATAAATAATTATCAAATCAATTTCAAATACCATAATTGTATCAAATCTGTAAGAAAAACGCATTTTGAAAGTCGGAATAAAGTGAGCAAATTAATTACAAGAGAGGCTTTAAGGATTCCTTCGAAAATCCTTATTTTAAGTGAGATTAGCGTCGTGTGATATCCTCTTTGATGACACCAATCTCACTTAAAATATCTAACTACATTCTAATGCGTAAATATATGCAGGTAGCATTTATTTCTCAATGCCAAAATGTTGAGGCTTTAATAGTTTTTAAACAAGAATTGCTTGAAAATGATCAAATAACTTGTTTAAAATTCGTATTTATGTTGTACGGTACATATACAAACATTCGCGTTTATACGATACATATACGCATATAATATAACGGAATTTTTTTTTATGTTGCTTCAAGAATTCCGTTACACAAGACATACTCTGTTGAAAAATTTTCGACGAAAACTATGATACGACTCCGTTCGGGTACGGCAACCGTACCTCTAATTAATTACATAAATCTTCAATACTATGGTGTTATTGAAATTGGAACTCCACCGCAGACATTTAAAATACTTTTCGACACTGGTTCCTCAGATCTCTGGGTACCATCCAAAAACTGCAACGTCAGCCAACCTGCTTGCTGTAAGTATATCATAACATTGCTATCTCCCCGACATTCTATTATTCTTATATGTACATTTGTATTAAAAAAATTAATGTTTCAAGAATTAAAATAATCTTAATAACTTTTTTCTCGCGTTTAATGATTGTTATCAAATAAAAATATAAGATAAGAATAATGCTGTAGAATTGTATCTATTCCATTTACATTTCAAGTAAAGTTATAAAATCTTTAAAGCAACCGTTTCAAAGATTCGAATCAGTGGCAAGGTAATATTATGTAGCTAAGTTCCATACTTACATACTCTCTTATTTACATTATTTATCACACTTACTTTAAAGATACAAATAATTTTTTATACAAAACAGCTCGCATGTTGAAGCAAAAAATATAAACATAAATATATTTGATGATTTAACTACTGTTAGTTATATATTTAGATTAATATAAAGAAATTTATATTTCTAGATTTTTCAATATTAACTGATTTAATTTTATTTACTTTTTTTTGCAGGGAAACATAATAAATATGATAATACACAGTCCACCACATACGTGCCAGAAGGAGTTACGTTTAATGTTTCTTACCACAATGGAATTTGGAAAGGTGTTAAACTGTACGGGAACTTATCTAATGATAACGTAACGGTAAGTCATCGTCAAATAAATGATATATTTAATTCTAATCACAGTCATAAAATCCATGAAAATTTTGGAAAAAGCACATGTTGCTATTATTGTCCGAAAAAATTGATATTAATAATATCAACGTTTCGTAGATTGGTGACCTTGGGGTTACATCACAGATATTCGGAGAAGTGCTCAATTTCTCGGAAGGTTTTTTGCCCTGGGCAAAATGCGACGGCATTCTGGGGATGGGTTATCGCGCCTTATCTGCCTTTAAACAGAATTCTGTCTTCCAAAACATGATTGATCAACACGTGGTGTCCCGACCAATTTTTAGCTTCTATCTAAATCGGTATGTATCTTTCCGTATGTCTCACTTGTGTTTAACACTTTTTTTTTATTACATACTTTGTCTTTCCATGCAATGTAAAATGCAAATGTATAAACAATGTAAAAAATATACAACCTATACAGAAATCTAACAGACGTGATCAGCAGTGAACTGATATTGGGTGGCACCGATTCTTCCCATTACGAGGGCGAGTTTACGTATTTCAATGTTACTAAAAAAAAATACTGGCAAATTACCATGGATAAGTATGTAGTTTTTTTTTTCTAAATTATACGTATGTCAACTACGGATTATATGTCATCTAATTGGTAATGCTATCCCACTGTAGGTTTCAAATAAAAAATTACACCACTTGCTCGGAAGGCTGTCAAGCTATCGTCGACACGGGCTATCCGCATATAGCTGGACCACCGCTGGCTATCGAAGTTATTTACAGAGAAATCGGTGTTATTAATGATACGGTAATTGATTATCTCTTTCTGCAATGGCAGCTTGCACAATTATCTTAAATAAATTATTGAAGTAAATTAATAAATGTTTGATAAGTTACGGATTATTAATGTGGATTACTAACATTGACCTTCGTTTAAAGGTAAACTGTGACGATGATTATATTTCTAATTTGCCCGATATCAATTTCGTCATAGGTGGTAAGACGTTTCGACTCACTGGTCAAGATTATATCTTGAAGGTAAAGAATATTATTATATAAAGGTTTAAATTGTTTTTAGAATAAAAATATCATGCCATATTTAATGTTTCATAGCTCGGTGATAAATGCATTCCCGGCTTTCAAGCTGAACCTCCGTTTGATGGTATAGAATGGATTTTGGGCGATGTATTTATTGGTCGGTACTACACCGTATTTGACATGGAAAACGACCGAGTGGGATTTGCTATTGCAAAAAATTAAATCTTGATTGTCTTCTCATGAAATTATCATTAAATATTAGGAACTAAACAAATAAGTCGTAGTTTTTGTAGAATATTGACTGACATATGTTCTGTAATTTTATTTGGACTATTTATATGGTATTATATTTTTAAATTAATACGTATGTGAGAATTAGAAGAAAGATATGCGATATTTATTCTGCCAACGATTTAGTACATCTTGTTCTTTCGGCAACTATCGAATTGTTAGATATTGTGAATACAACTTATATATAAGTCTATTAAAATGAAGTATATAATTTTTACACTGAATATTGATTTCATATATCGCCCTTTCAATCTCATCTTAATGTAGTATCCCGAAAAATATTATCTCGTTTAATCTTATAAATTTTTTGCTTACATACGAGTACAAGATATCATATAACATTCTGCTTATATGTATAAGAGTATGACATACCGCATTTGTAATCAATATATAACTTTTTACAGTTCTTATGCTTACACAAACGTATATACGCATAAATTTTTTGCTTATTAATAGAAAATATCTAAAATTTTCAACACATAGATAACAAATTGTCGATACGAAAATTATCATGTCATATATATTCTAATCAATAAATTGTTATAATATTGCAAAACTGATTTAGGTATATCACTATCGTTAATATTATAAACTTATATTTTAAAAATGTTATTTTTAGAAACTTGCATATTGTATTAACTACTGCTAGTGTTAAATAAAATATGATACACAAAAAGAAATTATCGAGTAATTTTGATACATGATGTGTAACAACGATAATATTTTCTGGCAATACACGTTTGCAAAAATTTTATATAATTACAAGCCAATGTCTCCACAATATTAAGAGAAAATATCAGACTATATAAATAATAATAGCTAAACATCTTGCGTTATGCAATTTATGGCACAATTTATTATACTTTTCAGGAGATCTGTAAAAGAAAAGTTTCAAGTCCTACGTAAAATTGATTTCTTAATTTCAAGCTAACATTTTCGAAATTTTATCGTTTATTCCAGCTTTTTGTTTTTTATACTCTTTTTGATCATTCTAAAATCTGACGGGATCGACCAACTATTTTCAATATAAAGATATATTCCAATATTTCCAATATATAGTGACGCAAGTGTATCCAGATTAAATTAGTGAAAAGAGCTATTGTGCTATTAGAGGCGTTAGAATTTTTTAAATTCTTTGTTCGTTTTACTGCCCTCCTCCTCTTTGTTATTATATTAGACACGAAGGACGTACATGCATCTGTATATAAGCAGCGACGGGAACGCTAAGTTTGACTACATTCTTTGTCTGTTGTGCATACCAATTGTGGACTGATTCGAAGTTATAACGCCCTTAAAACATTCTTGATTTTTGTAGCTTTAGTCCCCGGGAAATTCAAGAAACATGTATCAGCTGTTTGTGGCAATCGTAGTAATCGACTTCGCGTTAATCAACACGGAGTTGCATAGGTTAGTACATACTTTACGCTCCACATTTATATCGACACGATAAATCCTGTATAGAGATTGCGATTCTTAAAATCACAGCAGAATTCGCAATAAATACTTTAATAAATACGATAATTGTACTAAATCTGTGAGAAAAACGCATTTTGAAAGTCGGAATAAAGTGAGCAAACTAATTATAAGAGATGCTTTGAGGATCCCTTCGAAGATCTTAAATGAGATTAGCTTCATAAAAAGAGAAATTTGCTTTTAAAATACTTAAACTACATTCTAATGGGTAAATTCATAAATGCAGGTAGCACTTATTTTTTAATACCAAAATGTTGTGGCTTTAATAGTTTTCAAATAAAAAGTGCTTGAAAATGGTCAATTAAATTATCCGAAATTTATATTTATTTGAAAGATATTTTAAATGACATTCGCGTTTATACGCGTATAATATAATGTAATTTTTTTTATATGTTTCTTCAAGAATTCCGTTATACAAAACATACTTCGTTGAAAAATCTTCAACGGACATTAATATGATACAGCTTTGTTTGGCTACTGTACCTCTGATTAATTATGACAATATACAATATTATGGTAATATCGAAATTGGAACTCCACCGCAAAAGTTTAAAGTACTTTTCGACACTGGTTCCTCAGAACTCTGGGTACCATCCAAAAACTGCAACGTTAGCAAACCTGCTTGCTGTAAGTATATCATAACATTGCTACTTTCCCGACATTCTATTATTTCTATATATACATTTGTATTAAGAAAAAAATTATTGTTTCAAATATTAAGATAATCTTAATAATTTTTTTCTTATCTAATTCGATTGATATCAAGTAAAAATGTAAGATAAGAATAATGCTGTAAAATTGTGTTTTTTCCATTTACATTTTAAGTAAAATCATAAAAACTTTAAAGCAACAATTTCAAAGGTTAAAGTCAGTGAGAAGGTAAATATTATATAGCTAACAATAAGTTCCACAATTATAAACTTTCTTATTTATATGATTTATCACATTTACTTTAAAGATACAAATAATTTTCGACACAAATCAGCTCACGTCTTAAAGCAACAAATATAAACATGAATACATTTGATGATTTAGGGATGTTCTGGATAGTTTGTCAGAATGCTACGAAGTTGATGAAAATTTAATATCATATTCTGTGCTCCCTTTCAAAGTTCGGAGCCAAATTTCAAATCGATTCAGAATTCGGATAAAAAGTTATCAATTTTTGAATATCCGTTTTTTTTTTTTTTTTTTTTAA